TTTCCTCTACTTCCCTTACTTGCTTCTCAAAATCCCTTCTGAGCTCTTCCAAGGCCTGGGACTGATTCATATTTTTCTTGGAGGCTTTGGATGTAGGAGCTTTGACTTTGTTGTCTTCTTCTGGTTGTATATTTTGATCTTCTTTGTCACCAAAGTAAGATAATATGGTCTGACTCTTTTTGCGCTGCTTGCTCATGATCCCGGCCAATTACTTGAGTTTTAAACTCTTTGTTAAGGTAAGAGTCTGCTTCTAATGTGGAGAATGTACTGTTCCAAGCTTCGGGGGGGGTTTATACAGCTGTTTTCAGAGATACTTGTAGGGACCTGCAAATTTTCAGTTCTTCCAAGGTGGCATGATAAGGGGCGAGGTGTTTACTCCTTTCCTGGCCTGTGACCACAAGTACTCCTTTCTGTCCTGTAACTGTGAGGAGGGGTTCCTCTTCCCAGCCACTACAAGCTCCACCACGCCAGCCAGCGTTCCTCCTCACCCCAGCACCCCCGCCCAGAACTGTGACCCAGATCCAAGCACGGGCAAAGCAAGAGATTCCTGCCTCAGCACTGGCAAAGAGATCCCTCCAATCCTTCTCTGATCAGCCACTGGATTCCCCCTCAGTCTGTGGGCTGGAAGCTTGGGAAGCAGCTGCCCCCTTCCCCCTACCCTCTTGGGGAATGGAGCTGAAACCCTACCTTCCTCTCTTAGCACCGAAGAAACAGACTTTTCCCACTGACCTTCTAAGTTGCCTTTGGCATTCGTGGATTAAGGAGTCTGGAAACCTCCACAGCTGCCCGTGATTCAGTCCTCTGAGGCCTGCTCCAGGTTTGCTGTGGCCTGTGCGCCCATGCCGCAATGCGCTGCACTCCCAGCCCGGCGTGATACACCTTTCTGATCGATCATCCAGGTTGTCTTGGGCTGGAAATTTGTTTCACTCTGTCTTTTTGTGAGTTCTGCTGCTTCAGAATTTGTTTAGAGCCATTTTTTATGAGTATTTGGAGGGCTTTGGGGGAGGGCTCAAGCAAGTCGCTGCTTTCACTCCGCCATCTTGGCTCCATCCGTTCCCCCCCCCAGGTGGTATTCCTGTAACACACATTTGACCACTCTTCTGCTCAAGCAACTTCAGTGGCTCCCTACTGGCACCAGGATAAAGTACCAACTACCATTTGGCATTTAAAGCCCATCACAAGCTGACTCCAAGCTGTCTCCCCGGACACCTCCAAACTGATGACAAATGATTCTCCCTCTCACACCGTATACTCTCAACAAACAGGCCTCCTTGCTTTTCTCTGCACATGACATCCCAGTTCTTTCTTCACACCTTTGAAATGGCTAACTGCCATGCCTGGCATGCAAGCTTTACTTAGGTCTGGCCCGTAAAACCGAGAGCTTCCTGGAAGGCTCAGATTGAGTGTTGCTTCCTATAAGATGAGAGGCCTTTCTTGATTCCCTAGGTGTTTGTGCTTCTCCCACTTATAAAAATGACTTTGCACTTACCACATAGAAATTTCGTCTTTAATTATCAATGTTCAGGGGCTGTTTTTTCTTCTTTGTATTCCCAGTGCCTGGCACAGCTGGCATTTTTAAAACACCCATTGAAATGAATGTGTCCAATGAGGGGTTTGGAATAGATGACTTCTAAGACCTCTTTCGGCCCTTATTCTCTGACTCTGCTGGAGGCAGCTGCCAAAGGGCCCAAGAGAGCAAATTGTTCACTTTTCAGTGCCTAGAAATGGGCAAATGCTACATACAGTTCAAAGACTGATTTATTGTTCAGTCGATTGTCTAGACTTAGTGAAGTGATAGAGAACATGTTAATAATACAGATTAAATTTAAAAGTGTGGTGGGTAAGTCTCTCCCTGCCCCAGCCAATTGTGAAGTTACAGCAGCAACTACTGACCTGGCATTCATTGTATTCTCACAACATATCTGGAAAGTAGATAGTGCAGCATAAAGAGCCAAAGGCCCAGAACTGTTTAGTCACCTGAATATAAGGGCAGATACCCAGTTAATAGCAGAGCTGAAATTCGAACCCATGGCTTCTAACTCTAAGCTACATGAATTTAAAGTGTAATATTTGTTCCAAGTTGGTGTGTGGTTTGTTGATGGATAGGGCAGGAAGGCTTTTGGCCGGGGGGGGGGGGGGCTGTGCTGGTAAATGGTATAAGCATTCTACCCACTGAGACTTCTTTTTTAAATGTAAGTACCTTGGGTGTGAGGGAGGGAACCTAAATGGAGAGTATAGAAATGTCAGAGGTGGTTCAGGGAATCTCTACTTCTACCCTCCAGTTCAGGGAATCTTCACCTTTGTTGTGTCCTGGCCTCTTTTGGCAGTCTTGGTAAAGCCCATGGACCCCTTCTCGGTCATGTTTTTAAGTGCACAAAATAAAATGTAGAGGATTGCAAAGGAAACCAAAGATTATTGCAAATACAGATTCAATTTTTCCCCATACAAGTTCATAGACTCCTTGAAATTGAGATTAAGAACCTCAGATCTAGTTTCACCTCCTCACCTCACAGAGCAGGAAACTGAGGCCCAGAGAAGGATGTGACTTACTCAAGATCTCACAGAGAAGCAGCAAGAAAAGGCCTTGAACTTTTCCAACTCCAAAACTTGTACTGCTTCCACACACCAAAATGTTGGTCAGATTTCCTCCCTGACCCCTAGCTAAATATATAAAGGGGTTTGGGGGAGGAGGTAGATTTTAGAGCCTAGGGAGGGTATGGGGCAGGGAGGGACTGAAATAGATGTGTGAGGAGGGCAGGCATCACCCTGGGGAACTTTGGGCAGTCATAAGGGCACGAGACACCTGGTGGGTGGAGAGGGGCAAAAAGGAAAAGTGAGAGGATGTTCAATTAGATAGTCCATCTATGTGGCAACCTTATGTTGGATCCCGATGCATGGATTCTGGCCTTTGGCTTAGCCTGGAAGGACACAGAAAGAAAGGTGGAAGTGCACAGAAAAAGCAAAACAAACTTCCTCTGCTTCTAAATGCTGCCCAGGGCTGGCCCTGCAGCTAAGGACATTTTGAGGTCTCTGTCATCAGTAGCTAATATGGAATGTCCGTTTTCTAGATTTCTCCATTTAGTTCCCTCAAAAGAAATCAGTGAGTTTACCAGGAATTTACTGCATGGCCCTGCCCTGTGGCCACCACCTGTTCTAGCTATTGATTTATCCAGCCAGCTGGCTCCAACCATCTCTCATTGTTGTCAGACGGTCTGTTTGTCCACATTTTCCTGGATCCTTGGAAGGCTGCTTGCCTGGTGCCCTGTGACATTTAATATACATTCATCAAGTCCTGGAAACCAGATTAAAAAGTCCGTTTTCTCCTAAACCCCAAATAAATCAAAGCCAACTTGGAAAAGAGGGTTTTAATCTTTTGACTTAATTGCTCAGGGATTTGCCATTTGCCAGTCTTCCAGGAGACTTTAGGCAGCATTGAAAATGAGGTGCTGGAATTGGTTTGAGATCAAACCTCCGTAACAAGTCTATATCCTTTCTTTGGGGATGAAGAAAAATGCCTTTAGGGCTTACTCAAAGGAAAAGCAACAAGAAACTGAAACAGTTGGCTAATTCAAATGTATTTTATTACATGAAATGAGCATTTAAAATCCAAGTCAGTCTAAGCAGAAATTAGAGGTTAAGTATCATTTTTATTTTCACGCGTATTTAAAAATTCCATTTGCTATATAAATATACATTTAGTCCATTGCCATTGGTTGGTTACATTTTTATTATGGACACATCACCAGGTCCCTGGGGCAAGAGCCATTGCAGTGCCTTCCTCACTGCCTAGAAAGACTTTGTATTCACGATTTGTGTCCTATTCTCATCAAATCTTTTAGTGCCTCGGCTATACAACTTCATGCCTTCAGCCCAATGGACAAATACATGCTTATATATACATATATATACATATATATATATATATATATGTATATATATATAATATAGGTTTCATAAATCTATAAGAAATGCAAATTGAATAATAAGTTAGTTGCAAAACAAGCAGGCATGTGGCAGAGAAACAAAGAAAATACCAACTTGGTTTGGTTTTTTGCTCTAAAAGTAGCAGGAGAGATGCATGTCCAGTCAGGCACACCACTGTAAATGGCAAAAGCAAAGAAGAATTAGGTCTATCGGATTTTCTAACTTAGCTGCTACCTATACGTTTAGTGCCTATATTTATTCTGTAGCCGAGGTCTCCATTAGATAAGAAAATGAATCACACACCGTCTAAGGCTACAGATCATGCAAAGATACGATAAATGTGTGCTTTAAGAATGTTCTTTTAATATGATTCCCCCCTCCCCCATCTCCCATTTAACCCCTGCTCTGAGCACAGATTCAGATGCTTTTCAACTATATCGTGCCCAGGTTTTCAATATGAATGTTGCTAGTAAGAAAAGTACACAGATATAAAGGTCAAATAAGCATGCACTTGAACACATCACTGTGTGTGGCGGTTTATATTGCAAGTATTCTGATCGGAAGAGCCAGTTACTTTAGTAACTCCTCTCTCCTGTTCTTACACAAACACAACCTATTTGTTTTCAAACACACATACATACACACAGACACACAAGCCAAAGTTAGCTGGTCTGTGCCTTGCACGTAGTAGGTATTTAATTGGTGTTGAATTGAATCTGATCGTGTTCCCATTCAAATGTTTCAATGAAAATAAAACTTTAAAATATACTCTTGGAGTCAGTTTGAAGAATGATGACAACGCTGGTTTGATATCCAAAAAACAGCCATTCAGAATGAATGTAGGAACCACTGGCTTTCTTTGTAGAGAAGGGGGGAAAAAAAAAAACCACTAGCACGTAGCTATGAGTAATAAGCTGATAGGCTTGGTTTTCCAGTTCCTGACTTGATTCTATGGCTCCAAGTCAAGTCAGGTTGATCCACTCACCATTTGAATGAAAATCACTAGATAACAAAGATTTCCTCTACCCATTCATTTCATGTAGCAAAACTCTAGGACAGCAAAAAAAAAAAAAAAATCCAGTACTCCCTTGGGATGTTAGAACAGCATTAGACCTGTCGGTATTGGAAAAAAGTGGTATGTGTTACTACAAGAATCCGGGTCCTCCTGGAGGCAGGCATCGTGTCTCTGGTTTCTGTGATATTAGACTCAAAGCTGTTGCTCAGGGTCTCATCATTGGGAAGCTGTCGTATGATATGGAATGAATGTGAGATCTGTAGCACGGTTAGAGGTTGGATTCCAACATGAGTTCTCCCCCATTAGTCATCGCCTGGTCACTGAGCTCCTCCTGAATCGCCGGAAGAGAAGTCTTTGCCGTCAGTGGGGTTTCAGTCTTGAAAAGCGACTCCATTTTGATCTGGGTGTTGATATAAAGAGACTTCTGAAAGGACTCCAATGTGAAGTAATAGATGAACGGGTCAAAGCAGCAATTGAGTGTTGCAATGCACAATGTAATGGGGTACATCGTTTTGGCAAACCTCTCCAGGGAGCAGTTGGTTATGGCTTGGGAGCGGACCAGAGCATAGAGGAAGAGAATAGAGTTGTACGGCACAAAACAGACGATGAAAATGGCCACGTGCACAATGATCATCTTCAGCACTTTCTCTTTGTTGGTTCCAATCTGGGACAGTGTTGCAGGTTTTCGCAGGGTTCGCAGTACCAAGGAAGAGCATGTGAGGTTCAGGAGCAAAGGAATGATGAAGCCTACCACTTCTATAAATATCGTAATCTTGGACAGATAGGTCTTCCAGATGCGCTTGGAAAAGCCCTCAAAGCAGGTTGTTGTGGAGTTGGAGACGTTGGTTGTGGAGAACAGCGAGGCGGAGATCCCCCCGCTGAGGACCAGTATCCACACTCGCACACACGATGGCCGAGTTTCTTCTTGTCCGGATGGTACGAGAACGGAAGGGATAGACAATAGCAAGGAATCGGTCGACACTGATGCAGGTGAGGAAAAGCATGCTTCCATAGATATTGGTGAGAAACGCAGTCCCAGAAATCTTGCAGAGGGTGTCGCCAAAAGGCCAGTGTCTGTTAAAGTTGTAAAAAATCTTAAAAGGCAAGGTGAAAACAAAGAGCAAATCAGAGAGGGCCAGGTTGGTGATGAAAATGGCAGTCTCGCTTCTCATCTTCATCCGACAGCAGAAGACAAAGAGGGACGCACAGTTTGTTATCAGGCCAAGGATGAACACGACACTGTAAACTGCGCCATTCAGATTGTACTTAAAAGAGTCATCTGTGAAACATGTCTGGTTGGTGCTGGAGTTTCCCATTCCAATTTCAGGCTGGGCTTCTGGAAGCTGCTGCAATGGAATTCTGTGGTGTCCATACACTGGTCGGGAAGTCTGGGGGGAGGTGAGAGGGGGCCAAGTGCCACTTGGAACACCTGCCTATCAAAGAGGTAACTTCTCTGGGACCTGAATATTGCAGAAAGATATTTTTCTACCTATAGGAGACAAGATGGAACCAGTTAACACAGCAACCAATCAATTGTATTTCAAGTACCATTGAAGGGGAGAAACAGATCCACATCCTGTCTACCCACACTTGAAGAAAGCATATGAAGAAAAAAGAGCCAATACTAAGGAAATTCAGTATCATCAAATGTCCTGTGCATTAGCTGAGGTACTCAAGAAATGGGGGGGTTCTGGTCTAGCTGAGGGTTTGAGCAAAAAACATCCTTTGTTTATTAACACCATGACTATTGATCGTCCCTTGGAGTTTCAAACACTTCACAGTTTTCATTATTTGACTTTCTCTGTCAAACCTTTCTAACAACCTTGTGCAAGTGTTATCATCCTTGTTTAATGGAGAAGGGAACGGAGCTCAGTTCAGAGACTTCAGGCGATTTGCCCAGTGCTGCATGGCTAGTTAGGAGCAAAGCTGGGGCCAGGGTCTCCTGGCTTTTGGGATGGTTTTCTTTCCACTGTGCTTTGCTGCCTTTTCTAAAACATATTTGCCTCTGGCCTTCTTAAGTACAGTGTACTAAGCCAAACGAAATCTGTAATCACTGGGGAACCTGTACAATCTTAGGGTCTGAGCATCATTGTCCACTGCGCAAGATTAGAGATGGAGAAATCACATGAGGAGTCTGGACAGACCCTACAATGATTCGAGGACACGTCCTGGAAGTAGCATTGGTTTTTTTACTAAATCCCTGACATGAGTTTATTGTCCTGTCACTTGTCTTTCTCCTTAAAGTGAAGTCCCAGTTAATTAAGGGTTCAGGTTGATTACCATTTGACTGCCACACGGTCTCCTTGCTTTTCTTTTTACTGGCCCAGTGTTGTACATGAGAGGTGTCCTAAAAGACTGCAAAAGGAGGTGATCTAGTCAGGATGTGAAAGTGAGGAATAGTCTGGGGGCAATGGTAGGTAACCCAAAGAATGGCCAAAGAGAGAAGCAGAACTCAAGACCCTCCAGCTCTCTTCCCACTGTCCCCATACCACCTTCTAGACAAATCACTGAACCTTTTGGGATTGAATGGTTGGGGGGGGGGGATTGGACTAAATGGTTTCTGAGAACCCTTTTAGAGCTAACTCTCTGATCTTTTGACTCACTCAGCTGGTACCCCACACCTAGAATGTCTCCCCTACTTCCTCCTTTCAGAATGTCCCCCCTCTTTCTGATAGCCATCAAAATGCCCCCTCACTACAAAGTTTGACCTAGCTGAGTTGAGGTTAGAGGCTGATCCTCTGTCAACATTCATTCCCCAAGCTTTCGCCTGCAGAGCCTGCCTCCCCAGGTAGACTGCTTCTTCATAAGGGAGCCACTGACTAAATCTTCGTGGCTCATGTCTGCACAGATTTTGGGGGAGATTTCTGTTTGTATCTTACAGACTGTCTTAGCTTGAGAAGTGCTAAGGGACATAGCCCTGTCCCTTTGAAATGAAAAGCCTACAAAAGAAAAGTGGTCTCTGTGTCCCACATTGAAAACGAATGGATTTCACATGGATAATATTCTAATTGTAAAAACCATTCCTCTGAAATGTCTCTTCCTTATATTAGCAACCAGAGAAATTTAGACTGTAGACATCCGATCTAGTCTAAACCTTTGTGTTGTGTCCTCTACCTCTAGATGAAGAAACTGAGACCAAGAGGGGGAAGTGACTTACCCAAGGTCACCTAGCTACCAAGTGTAGGAAAAGGATTTGGACTCACATCTTCTGACTCCAAATCCAGGGTGCGCTCCATTATACCATAATGCTCATTCCCAGGAACTAGGTAAAAGTGCTTCTGTAGCTAAGCCAGAAAAAAGAAAAAAAATCTTGCCTGGGCTACATAAGCCCACATTTTCCTAAAAACTAAGTGCCCTATAGTACACTAAGTGTCCCCACCTGGAAACTCTAGGGCAGAGGATGAGATGCTCAGCAATTTAACCAAGAAGGTGCAGTCTATGGCCTGGAAGAACTTGATTTGGACAGGAAGCAGGACGGGGAACTCGGGCATTATGACGGGAGACACAGCATTAGGGGGACATGGGGCTTAAGACCAAGGGCACCCAAGAGTGAGGAACCCCAGAAACCATCATGCTCCTGAGCGACATAACATAGCAGAACAGGCCACTGAGGAAGCAGCCTCTTCTGCTTAGGGTAGCCGGCGGGCTGGGCAAGAACTCCCAAGGCATTTGTGCCTCTGTATTTTTATACTGGGGTATAGCAGAATAAGGCCTGGATTCAGAGTCAGAAGCCTTGGGCTCAAATCTTAGCTCTGCCACTCGCTAGCTGTGTGACCCTAAGCAAGTCACTTTACCTTAGTAGGCCTCAGTACAATGAGGTGATTGGACCAGCTGTCTTCCCAGTCATTTCTAAAGAATACCACCTCCCCCTCAGCCATTCCCTTCCCACAGAACCTTGGCCTCTGACCTTGGGATGCTGGGATTTTGCCTTCTCTTGCCCAGGGTCAGGTCTCCACACTCCTTCCTGACCTTTTCCAAACCAGGCTTTAAGCCTGCATACTCTCCCCCTTCAGATCCTTTCTAGCTCCCCTTTATGTTTTGTCTTCCTTCGTTTTCACAGGAGCCTCTCAAAGGCAGGGACTGGCTTACTTGCTTCTACTTTACATCCCAGCATTAGCACAGTGCCGGGCACCGAATCATCACTTAAACCTGAAACTCTGACCCATGAGTCTAGCCCAGGGGTGGGGAGCCTGCAGCCTCGAGGCCACATGTGGCCCTCTAGGTCCTCAAGTGCGGCCCTTTGACTGAATCCAAATGTCACAGAACAAATCCCCCGCCCCGATCTAGCCTCTGAGCCCACCTTCCTCTGTCTCTCCAAATCGCATCTGTCCTTTGAGTCTCACCTCCTTTCAAATGATTTCACCCAGAAACGAGACTCTGAGTCCCCTTCACCTTTCTTAAGTAGCCTTCTTAGGTTAATGCTGTACCATTTTTCTTACTCCCTTATTCAACGATTCCTCAAGGAAGAGACCGAGACACTCAGACAAGTAGGGTGTGCAGTAGATAAATAGTTGGGCTCAGAGTCAGGTCTGGCTGTGACATTGTGGGTAAGCCACTTCAGCTCTCAGCAGCCCCCGAGGAGTTGGTAAACAGTTGCCAGTCTGTCCTGGTGGACGGAATTTCCTCACAGTCACAGGTCCAGCCCAAAATCAATAGGAATATATTTATTACTTTGTGCTTCTTAACAGGCCACATTCACATAGGCATGTTCTGTCTCCCTACCCAAAGCACTGGCTGCAGAAGGGCAGGCAGGGTCTTCTACTTTTGCACACCCCAGAATGCCCAGTAGAGGGTTTGGCCCAGGAAGGCACTCAATTAACGTTTGTGACCTTGCTCTAAGTAATCAAACCCTAGAAGAGAGAAAAGAACACAGGTAAGAAAATATTAGTCTTTTCACAATTCTGAACCCAGAAAATGGGGAAAGACATCTGTGTGCCAGCCAGCCTCCTTTCCCCACTGTAGCACATAGCACCTTGACTGTCTAACAGTAAGAGTGTGGCCCTGGGATTTTACCCAGCACATTAGCGGAGTTCTATTTCTGATCCAGTATGTAATTTGGCTATACCCTTCCTCTCCTTTGTATACCTACCACCTATGTCCCCATCTTAGAGCTGAGGTTGGGAGGATTCAGTAGGACCTGTGGAAAACTTTGGAACCTGGCAGTGATCAATATTACCCAAGTTAACATTTTCTAAACTTTGCCTGCCCTCCCTGACACAACGGAACACTTATGTTGGCATTTCCTTGGCACCTCTGTCCCCATCCAAAAAGACATGATTCCTCTTCAGCTTTCTTTCTGTTTAGAAATCCTGTCTTTGAGTGTCAGAAGAAAGTAGGATCATGGGATTTTGGAGCTAACAACATCATAGGGGTTTATGGTCTGACCTCGTCCTAAGCCTGAGGAAACTGGACCTCACCGAGGGGAGAAGTGACTTGCCCAATAGTCACACAGAGCAAACAGCAGAACTGAGACTAGAACTCCAGACTGAGAGGGACTTAGGGTTGCTTTTGGATGGGGGGGGAGGGGGGGGCGCATCAAGCATTTAGGAAGCACCTCAGTGTGCCAGGCTCTGTGATAAGCGATTTCCTCACTTGACCCTGAGGAAAGCCAAATTCAGTGGGGACTAAATTCCCCAAAGCATCTCAGGATCTTTAGGGTGAGGCAGGGCTGGAAACAGTGCCCGTGCAGCAGCTGGGGCTTCAGTCTGTCTTCAGCACCTGTCCTGGATTAAACTCACGTCCCTGGAATGGCTTTAGGTTGAAGAGTTGTCTCAGCATTGGGATAATAAGCTTACAGAGGCTTCTCCCTCCAAATACTGCATTCAAAGTCTCCACCCTTGATGCTATACTTAGGACCATGGGACATTGGAGCTGGAGGACCTTTGAGCTAATTTAGTCCAACAGAGGCAAGCTGACATCCAGACAAGGTAAGGGGCTTGACCAAAGTCACATAGGACATTAGGCAAAAATTGAAAGCAGCCTTCTAAGCAGTTTGGTGTTCTTGAGGCACCATGCCCAAGCTAGCTGAACTGAATGGAGCAAGAGTGCTTTTGGAAAAGGCTTTGTTCCTGTTCCCCTTGGCACCTCTCTGAAATATCCCACAGCCCTGTAGCGCCTGGCGAGATGGAAAGGTGCCTTTTATTTGAGGCCCAGCTCTACCACCCCACGGTACTCAGAATACTCTTCTCTGCTCCACCAGGCTCACGCTTTGCAGATGGAGGAATCTGGAAGGAAGGACATTTATTCACCCCAATGAAAAAACCACAAGGACTCTATGTAAGCTGGGTTCAAGGAATGGCTTTTAGCTGCGAAGGAGGCAGAACGTAGTTACCACTAGGGCGTTTCATAAATGGTTAACAGATTGTGCAGTGAGCAGAGGCAATGGGCCAACATTTGTGCTTCAGATGAGTTGCAGAGGAAGAAAAAATTATATGCACACACATTTATGCCCCGTTTTTACAGCCAATTATGCCCACAATTAATCACTGGGTGAGCTCATTTTATCAGAGAGATGCTTTCCCATTGACAATGGGCAGGAAGCAGGTCAACTGAAGGTAGACCAAGAAAATCCAACCCAAAATGAAGCATTAACTTTGACCTACACATGTGAACTCAATCCAGACAGCTCATTGCAGGTACTCCCATTTTCCACTCTTTCTTTTGATTTTTAACAATAATGAAGTATGCTAAACTTGGGATCTCCCCAACTCCTGCAGAATATTTAGCCTCTCGGCCCTCCTCAGTTAATAAATCAATCTCAGTAGTTTACAAGGTGGGAACTTTCCAGGGGTTACCTTAAAAGCAGAGTTTTCTCCCACTTACCTCATGGGGTTGTTGTGAGGATCAAATGAGATAATATTTGTAAAAAGTGCTCATGGCACATAGTAGGTACCATACAGAAGTGCTTGCTTCCTCCCTCCCTCACTACCTGCACACATAATACCATAAACAGAATCAATCAGAGCCTGGGAAACCAAGTCCCAGAAGGCTGAGGAAACCTGATTCATTGTGAATAGGATTTGGCCAGGTTTGAGTGGTTCAGCTCTCTCGAGTATTTCCTCTTTCTAATCTGGTGGAAGTGTATGAAACTTGACACAATAGAGTCCAACATTTCCTCTGACACCATTGTATTCTTGCCTATAAATACTAAATAGTGTTGGGAGCTAAGGTATACCCAAACACTGTGAAAATCCAGGGAGCCCCACATGATCCTGGACAAGGGATGGGTAAGGCATCAGGAAGAGGAGAGAGCTGAAAATAGACAAGATTAGGACGTTTCCCAGGCCAAAGCATCGAATCTCCAGCCAAGGTACAGCTGCTACCGAATGAAGGTCAGGTTCTATTATTCTACGGTTGATATTTCAGAAGAATATTCCAAACATGGCCTAGTCATATGTATAACACGCCATATGGAGGAGACTGCTAAAGGCTTCACTCCACAATTGAGCTAGGAAATTCATCCCTATCAGCTCAAATTCTAGGCAATCCTCCTTTTGTGCTAAATGCTTCACTTGTTCAACCTGGGTTTCTATGTTCCATAAGATCTCCTGGGAGAGCTGAGAGGTATTTCCTGTTAATGGTGGCTTCCCCAGGCTAGATCTGGTTTGCATTGCCCTCCTGGCTCTTCTCCCCACCCCCACCCCCAATCCATTTTACTTAACTAGAGTGCTGGACTAACCGGGCCCCTGATCCAATCAGATCCTATCTACCCTATCCCAAAGGCCAAGCTGATTTTCCCTCCTCTCCTGACCAAAAGTGGCTTCACTTCCCCAATGACCCTTCACCCACTGACATGGTCCATCACTTGGAAAAGAAGACCGTCGGCTGCTCCAAAGAATTGCATCAGCCTCCTTTCAGTAATGTGGTCTTTTGCCCCCACTTGGTTAGGAAGTAAAACGATCACAGAGCAATTGCTCAAGCTACAGCTTTAGAATTGTCCTGAGGCTGGAGACTTGGTATCTTATCACAACAGAGGGGCTAGAGGCTTTGGGGGAAATTCCTGGAAGCACTAATTTCCAAATTCTGCACTTTGCCTCTATGTCAACTGCTTTGTTTCTTACCACCCCCAAACTACCCAGGCAGGCTTAACAATTTTTCATTTGGATACCTAATTATCAGATATCTATGTGCACTGATGCAGGGGAACATGAATACAAACCAAGGGGGCTGAGACCCCAAAGATGTGAGTACATTGTATATGTGTGTGTGTGTGTGTGTGTGTGTGTGCGTGTGTGTGTGAGATAGCACATAGATTGAAGAATCAAGATTTAGAATAATACCTTACATTCATATTAGTTTAATTAACTGGGTCACAAAAAACAATAAGACCTTTTCATCCTGTCCTGGGCTTGGGGTGGCATTGCCTTTAATAATTCTGAATGCCTGGTTGAGGAAAGAGGGCAGAAAATGAAATGGCAAATTTGAGGAGATATCAAATAGGAGACTGGTACCACCATAGTCTCAGTCTACTGTGGGTATCAATTGTTGTAATACTTTGGGCAAGGGACCAAAAATGGTAGTGATGTACACATAGATCTATAAAATCATAGGAACTGTGACTAGCAGCCCCCTCTGAGGAATGCTGTGAGAGAAATGATGGAGAGTCACAGTTAAAGGTGAATTTGCATTTTTTGTTAGCTGTTATGACTTATAATGCACCCAGCGCAGGCCCTTACTACCGTCTGAATATGTATTGGTCATTTTTAAAATGTTGCTTTTGATCCTGACTTGATTTCATCCATGTGGGAAACTCCTAGTGTGGAAATGCTTTCCACTGCTGCAGATCAATAACTCTTTTGTAACTTCAAGTCAGAGAAAGTTGCTTGGGGCACTGAGAGGTTCAGCAATTTCCCAGGGTCACCCAGTCAGTGTGTGTCAAAGGCTGGAATGGAAGGGACCCAGGCCTTCCTGACTCTTACTCTACCACACCAGGCTGCCTCTCTGTCTGATTATGTAGCATGCCTAATTCCTACAATGTAATTCTTTTGTTTGTTCTAATGTTCTCCTCTAGGACCTTATTGTGGTGTGAAGGTGACCCTGCACTCCTGAAGGCTCAGCTTGCCCAGCTGGAAAAGCCTCAAGTCTGGGTCTGGGGTTGAGCCATGTGTTTTTTATCAGAGGACCAGCTGAATTTTGTGCAGGCACTTGATCAGATTAGCTGACTAGCAGTGAATTTGGGGTATACCCCCCAGGTAGCACGCCAAGGCATGGAGGGTTGGGATCTAAAGCAGTAGTGAGGGTGGGCATCTACTCTGATGAATAGGCTGAAACATAAGATTTAGAAGTAGGGGAGACATTAGATATATGTAGTCCAACATTCTCATTGTACAGAGGAGGAAACTGAGGCCTAGAGAGGGAGAGTAACCTGACAAAAATCCTACCAGTAGCCACCTGGAAGGGCCCAGATTGGCCCTCTGACACCAGACGTCCTCAGAGATTGCTTAAAGAACCTATTTGCCAATGCTGCTGAGATGCACCATGGTCAGCTCCTCTCTCCACCTAGGAAGTTATACCTGAGTCCCAGTGTCAGGCCTTTATAGTCAGCTTAGACCCAGGAGAGAAGGCAGAGCTCATGACAACAGGATTTAAATCAGAGAAGATAAGGGTTACCATACGGACCCAGCAGGACTTTGGGACCCCTCTGAGGTCTTTGCTCCGGAAGTGTAGGGCGTGCAGGCAGGTCCTCCAAATCTGTTCCTCTGATAGCTGGGACTGTATTGGCAGTCTGGCCTTGACTGAAGGCTCTAACAGTTCTTGGCACTAGAGAATCTGAAATTTTTGTAAGAAATACCCAGTGAAAAAGAAATCCATGCATACTTTTCTTGGAAATTTACATCTTTTAAGCTCTGTATTCCTCCTTCACCCTGATACCCAACACAGAGAAACCGTATTATAAATACCCCCCCCCTTTCTTCCCAGATGTGAGTTTGCCGGTGGTAGGGATTGTTCCTGATCCCCCTCCCCACCCCCAACACACGTTCTGTTCTGGCCATGCATGGGTCTGACTGTGAGAGGCAAAGGAAGGAGAGCCAGCGCAGGTAAAGGGGGAGGTGGGGAGGAACACTCAGCTCTGGAGCCCCCACGGCCCCTTGACCCCAGGCATGATTTCTTCCCGGAGACCTGCTACATCCCCACATTGAAAAAGGAACTAACTGGTCATGCAGAATGAGTATTCCTGGGAGAGTCCAAATTGTTACTTTACTCCCACAATGCAACCTAGTCTCTCTATGCGTGTTCATCCTGCCCAACTCTTATCCATATCCTCCCAGAAATTCGCCACAGGAGTCCACCCAACGTGTTGAACTCCTTCCCCGTGTTCTCTTGACGTTACAAGAGTGTCGATAGAGCACAGAGTCTGTCTAGCCACTTGCCACTCTTTACTTTCACCACATAACTAACCAACCAATTCTAAATGTTTTTTAATTGTGAGTATGTCACTCTCAGTTAACAAGCTTATTTCGTTTATCAGAAGACCCCGTTCTGGGATGACTCCAAATAATTGGGAATATATACGTTCTAGTCAAAATAACACTCTGGCTCAGGAGACTCAGATTTTATTCCTAGCTTGCTCGATGACACTTCCCCTCTCTGGGTCTCAGTTTCTTCATCAGTAAAACAAGGAGGTTGAACTAGATGATTTCTATTGTCCCTTCTACCTCTTGATATATTCTAGGTTCTCGTTCTAAGGCTCCTCCTAATATTGACATTCTAGGTACAGCTAACACTCCTAGCTGTTGGATGAAGGCCATCTGAAAAAAGGGGGGAAAGAAGAAGGAAGGGGCAGGCCACACCCTCCCATGGGATTAGCACACTATCCCTCCCTTCGGGAGAATGTAGCCCTTTTGAAATGTTCAAATTCCCAGATGAGTATAAAGATTTCTTTGATTCTTAAGAGGGCTAGGAGTGAGGTAAAAGCTTCCCCTCACGCTATACCATCACTGACCTGAATAAACCATCAAAGATGAATGGTTGATTGCATGCTCTGCTATTAACAATTTCCAGCTTTCCTTAGAGCTTTTTTTTAAAAAAACATATTTCCAAAGTGGGGTGACTACCTGAGTTGGGCTGTTTTAAGGCCTTGAAATCCCAGTCTGAGAAGAGCTCAAATGCACCAGAATGTGTAAATGCATCCTCCCCTTCTCTTACTTCCTTAGAAGCACTCACCATCCCAATGCTCCTCTAGCTATAGAAACTAGGGAAGGTGATCTCATGGTCATTCCCCTCTAAACACAACAGACATTTATGTGAGTGCCAACTTTGTGCAGAGAACAATTCTAAAACTGGGTACCCCACAGGAGCAGCCCCATACCTGAGAGGCTAGACTGATTGATGGCACTTCCTAGTTGTATGGAGGCTGGTGAAGCAGGAGTTGTTAAACGCTTTCTGTCAATGGCCCACCTTGGCAGAGAATGCCCTGAGGGCCACCTGCTCCCTCCCGCCACTTCAAGAAGACCAGTAATAAAGCTAAGTTTGAAGTTTTTTCAATATCCTAAGCCATTTATTCATCAGGCCTCATGTCAACACATGGATACCATCATGTCATAAGCATGAAGACTGCATGTTTCCATGGTCCAGTTGCCCAGAGAAGCTTCCATGGGGACCAGGCCACTGAGAATCATTACTCAAAGCCTAAGTCTACTTGGTAGCAATAATCCTCCAGGTGAGGAATAGCTCATCAAGTGGCCAATTTACTAGTCATTTACTTCTGTCCAAAGAGGGGAGGCTCCTTGTACATAGGGCTCCAGATTGGCTACTGATTAGTCAGAGAAATTAGGCTCCCATGCCACTTTATCTTGAATGCCTTCTCTAGCATGTGGGTAGGGACTAGACAATATGAAAGAGGGAAACCATTTTCATCAAATAAGACACAAATAGCTTGCCTGGTGAATTTCACCTTTGAGGGCTCTCCAACTCTCTGCAGTATATTCATTCAAGACTCATAATCTGGTTCCAACTACTGACCTGCACAAAATGATCTTCCTGTCTCCAAGCGCCCCATGGACACACAGTCTCACATCTATACCTTTGTTCATACTGTTTTGCCTCGAATTCCCCATAACCCAACCCACTTTCTGCCCATCAAATGCTATCCATCTTTCAAGACCCAGCTCAGAGCAACACTACTGAGCACCCATGAAGCCTTTGTTCCCTTCCTCAGCCACAGGATTTTGAGCTAGTTGGGACCTTAGAGATAATCTAGTTTGCCCCCCCTAACTTTAGAGAGAAAGAAACTGGAGCCCAGAGTGGACTTATCAGAGTTCACAGAGCTAGTATAAAGCAGCTCTGGCATCCTGGCATTTGAACCCAGGGTGTTCAGTCCAGTGTCATTTCCACTATATCACTATAATTCTCTCTCTCTCTCTCTCTGTCTCTCTCTCTCTCTCTCTCTCTCTCTCTCTCTCTCTCTCTCTCTCTCTCTCTCTCTCTCTCTCTCTCTCTCTCTCTCTCTCTCTCTCTCTCTCTCTCCCTCCCTCTCTCTCTCTCCCCCCCCATCCCTCTCTCTCTCCTCCGAACTCCTTAACATTTTATATCTATCATCTCTTATATGGTGCTTATAATGCCTTGTATTGTTGGGTAACTTTTCATATAGGTATAATTTGCTTCTCTTCCTAGAAGGTAAGTTCCTTGAGGGTAAGTAACTTATCATATTTATCTTTAGATCCTCCCACAAAGACTAGAAGTTTTGACTGTTTGCCTGATATTCTGATATCTTGTTGATGAGGTAGGGCCGTCGGCCTAGCAGTCCTGAACCTTGTGGGCTATCTCCATGTCTGATCCTTATACCATCCCTATTAGCTCCATTCTCAGTAGATTTGCCCCTGGACCTGGACTTGACCATCATCTGGCCATCCTAGCCCTACTTTTCTTCAGTCCCTGAGTCCACATTTGTTAGCTCACTTTCTCCCTCCCAAAGAATCTGCCATCTTCCTTCAAAAGATGAAGTGACTATTCAACCACTCGGAAGACAAAATATAGCGAACCATTTTATATACTAACTAGTAAATATGTATAGACATTTCTTGTCTTTTGAAAGATGCTAGACCCCATATCTCTTTGCCAACATTCACTCAGTGAGGTAGGTGGTCTTCATTTTATCTCCATTTTAGAAAGATGAAGTGACTTGCCCAGCTAGTAAGCATCAGAGCTGGGCTTCAGACATTGACCTTGGACAGACAGTGTGGTGTAGTAGGAAGGGCCCTGGATTTTCATTTCGAAGCTCTGAGCTGAAATCCTGGCTCTGCTACTTTGTAGCCACATGAGCTTACCCAGGGTACCCTTTCTCCCTAGCCCTCAGTGTCTTTCCCTGTAAAATAAGGGAGTTGGATTAAATCATCTCTAAGATCCCTCCAGCTCTAAATCCTCTGGCTCCAAAGCCAAGGTTCTTTGTGCTGGACCAGGCAGGCAACCTCCCTGCCTCCGCAAAAACCTGGCCAAATTTCCCCTGGGGGTCAGTGGCCATAAGCTAAGCTTCTAGTTTTCACCCACAATTTTAACAAATCTCAATCCTCTATACAAGTCAAGGGCATGAATACACAAACACAAGCATTATGCTACATACACAGTTGTGGCCCTGACCTCCTCACAACAACAACAACAACAACAATAACAATATCTCAGGTGCCCCCTAAAGAGATTTGGCCTTTTGGCTTCTTCAAGTTTGCCTGGGTGTTTGTGAACCCCCAGCCCTATCCCTCTCTGGTTTCCAGCTGTGGTCATTGATTGCTGAAGGCCCCATCTGAATTGTTCAAATGGTTCTCCTTCACTTCTCTTCTTTACCCAGGCTGCCTTAAAATTTTGAGGCCAGTGATTTTATCAGCTGACCAAATACCATCCCTAGCAGGAATGTAATTTTTAGACTGTGACAAGTTAAAAGGCTTCACAGGTTGTGTGTGTGTGTGTGTGTGTGTGTGTTTGTGTGTGTGTGTTGGGGCTACAAAATGTGTCTTGAGCTCCCCGAAAGGGAAGAGAACTTTTGGCTCTGGATCTCTAATAGTTGCCTTTATGCCAGCCAGGAAGGGGAGTTGGTATAATCGGCCTGGGTGAGATGGTGAATGACCCCACCAAGCTTTGAGCTACCTCCCCATAGAGATTTGTTTGGTCATTTCCCCCCGCTGAAATTTTGCCGAAATAAACAGCCAAATGCCTGCAGCTGAGAATGGGGGAATGCAGACCAATGCAGAAAGAGCTTTGGCCAAGAAGAATGTTAGAAGTAAAAACACAAGGAGTGAATTACTCAGAAAGGATTCTTTCCATACTTGCCCCATCTCACCATTACCCTGGCTCTGTCTTTGTTTTGGAATTACACATCTATTCATTTCATTCCAAACAGCTCATCCAATTTACCCAAGATGCGGGTTTTCATTTGACACAGACAGGACCGTATTGGTGAATAATTCAGTTTGCTGGCTGTCCCATTCCCATACATCGATCACACTTGATGGACCAGAAATCTTATGTACATTAACCCTAAAAGAAACCTCTTCCCAACAGGCAGCCTCTGAGTTTGAAAAGAATAAAAGAAAACCGTAACCCGGAGCAACAGGAGTTTTTAAAGTGCTAGACACGGAGATGCCTTTAATCCTGCTGGCAAGGTACATACTGCATTCATTCCCAGGCAACTCTGACTTCCTGGGACATTTGTGTTCACTTTAAGCAGAATCCTGAGAACTCTACGGTCGTTTCGTTATATCCCCGCAGGAACAATCGAAATCGATTGTTCGTTCAGCCCAAAGTTGTAGAGGAGCCTCCTGGCCTTCAACGCTCCAAGAGGCAGGGTGCCCGCTTGAGGAGGATACCCCCAGCCCTCCCCCCCGCCCCAGCCCCACTCCCGAACAACAGACCAAAGGAGACTTACCCCGAGTGAGAAAGTACGGTCATGGCAGCAGACAGCTAGCAAGACCCAGTGCCCTGCTGGCTACAATGGTAGGCTCTTTCAAAGTGCATGCCTTTCTGCATGTCCTCCGGCGTAAAGGGAACGCAGCCCAAGCCGGGTCTGTCCCAGCTCCTCACTGCCGAGCGCTCATCCTCGGAGCGGGCGGGCAGCAGCAGGGGCGGGGGCGGGGGGACATTGCTCGCCCAGCCTTTGTTTAGGCACTGAGGCTCCGGAATGCCAGAGCCGGCATGCCTTTAGCAAACAGGACACAAGAAAGGGCCCAATGTCTGGGGAAGAAGCAGAGGGGCAAGGGAGCACTTGGGGGGCTCAATAGGAAATGCTTTCCATTGGCTCAGGAGGTCTCGATGGGAGCCCAGAGCCCGCCCAATCCCCGGGGCTGCAGCCGCGCTCGGCTCGGCTCGGGAGTCACCAATCACTGCGCGCACGCACCGAGCTGGCCTCCCAGCTCATTGCCCAGGAAAGGCCGTTTGCACAGTCCGGAATTGGCAACTTAAGTGCCACTTGACAATGGCTAAAGCTGCTTTCCTGGCCAATTAGTGGGCAGAGCGAGCTGCGTGTCCGTGCAACGGGATTGCCTCCTCCGTAGCAGCCTAATGAGGAGTAGGGGACCTAACGGCTCAAAGTACAGAGGCTGGAGTAGGGGTACTTAAGAGCCCATCTCTTCGGAAAGAAAGAGGGAGGAGAAAGAACGAAAGAGGGAGGAGAAAGTATGAAAGAAAGAGAAATAGGAAGCACAAAAATGAGAAAGAAAGAACCCAGAAAGAGGGGGAAAGGCCACAAGAAGGAAAAACATTCGGGAGAAAAAAAAAAAAAGGCTGCAGAAAGACTAAGAGGAAAGGGAGGGAAAGGGGGCCGCGGATGAAAGAAAAGATCAGAGCGGGGCACAAGAATAAAAGAAAAAAAGGCAACAAAACAAGAGAGAAGTTCTGATGGGTACTTACTGTCTTAAACTTGGGAAGTGCCACCGTGGAAAAGCACCTCGGTCCCAGGGGCCACATGCACACCTTTCCCAGGAAAGCTCCTCTTCTGAGGCCAGAGGAGGGCCACCCCTCCTCTTAAGTAGTTGGCTGAGAGGAAGTCTAATCATCCAGAAAGGCCCAGGGGCTTGCTAGTGAGCAAAGTAAAGGGTACAGATGAAACCTGTTTATAATGGAATGATCTCCAGCTATATACTTCCTCCCCTCCAGTATTTTCTGCTGCTATAGGTTGCTGACTGGGTCGCCCACGCTTCTAATGTTATCCTCCCACCTCCTTTCCTCTCTCCCTCCTTTCCTCCTTCCCCCTCCCTTCTGCATCCCCCCCCCCGCGTTGAACACTATTATAGAACTTTACCCAGCCATCTGCAACTTCATTTCTAGCCTGTCCCTCCACCAACCTCGAGCACCCCTCACCCCTCCCCCTTCTCTGGAATGAAAAATTCCAGCCAGGAGTAGGATGCTTTCTTTCCTTCTCTGGGTAGAGCCCCGCCTCTGGAGAATTGGGGGGATCCTCTGTCTGTTTCTCAAGTCCAGTTTTGTCAATTTGCTGCCTCTCAAACAGGACACATTTCACTTTGTTTATTTGGCCTTTTCCCTCAACTGCCTTGGAGCTGCTCTCACTGGGAGTCAAGGCCAGGTCCAGAAGTCATTTTTTTGTGAGACTGATACTAACTTTACACCTCTTGACTGATAATAGAAGATACTGCAAAACACTTTGTCTCTTGGTCTCTGCTCCCACTGTCTTACACTCTTTTCCCTCTTTCTGTTTCTGTCTCTAACATGGACCATGTCTTCTCTATCTCTTGCTCCGCCTCCTCTAAGTCTTCCCTTGGTGCTTACTATGCATCTAGTCCTATTATACATGCTACAGTGTACCCCAAGATAAGTAAAACATAATCTCTGCACTCCAGCAAGAAGCCCAGAGTAATGGCACAGTGGATTTGCCTCTGAAGTTGGGGTTTGAATCCATGTTCTGCTACTTACTCCCTGTGAGAACTTAGGCAAATCACTTTCCCTCTCTGGGCTTCAGTTTCCTCCTCTGTAAAAGGTGGGTATTAGATTTAATGAGCTCTGAGATTCATTCTAGGACAATATTCTACGTGCTACTAATGTGACTTGTTGTAAGGCTCTTACTGAGCCTAGAGGGAAGGAAGCAGCATTGTGGTGGGGGAAAAGTATGCAGATAGGAGCAGGAGGCAGGAGATTTGGGTTTAAGTCCCAGCTGTGTCATTTACTGTCACTGTGACATTATATAGGTCACATTATTTAAGCCTTTCTTTCTTCACCAGTGAAGTAGGGGCATGAGATGGTCAGGTGTTTTGTGACCATAAAAACACTATAGAAATGTAAGCAATTATTGCAACCGCAGAGGTCACTATGGGATAGTGGGTACAGCCTTGAGCTCGTGTTAAAGAGGACCTGGGTCCAAATCCTGTTCCAGCCTCTACTAGCTCTGTGTGACTGTAATCAGGTCACTTAATATCTGTATGCTTCCAGAAACTCCCTAGGACTTAGGTGCTACACTGTGGCCTGGTTGCATCTCCAGTGGAGGGAGCTATAGCTCACGTGGGTAGTTCCCCATACTGGTGAAATCACAGATCTTCCCTATCATCTTTATTACAACTTCTTTAGGAAAACAAGACATATGTATATGAAACAGTTCGGGAACATAGAGTTCAGGAACTGTATGATGGCAAGTCAGCAAATAATACAGATATTAAGTGCAATGGAAGTATATCTTTGTGGATCAAGCAAAATCAGTGTGGCCTGGAGTAGTGAGAGCTTTCTGGGAGGCAGCAGCACTTGAGACGGGAAGAACGAGCATGGCTTGAGAAGGGGGCAGGGAGGAGCTGGATCTCTCTAACCATCCGTGGTTTTGTTAAAGTCCGACTTCAGAGATCATCTAAGGATCTTTACAGAGGAGGAAACCAAGGCCTTGAGGGTAGAGACTTGGCCAAGGTCACTCACCTAACAAGTAGTAATGCCCTAAATTAAATCCAGGTTCTCTGGTTCCAAATCTAACTCTTTCAACTCTACCTTATTGACCTCACTCCAGTTACTTTCATTCACTAGGCATGGATTCTTTCCTGGTCTTCCTGTACTGTACCCTCTTCTGGCGTTATGCCCTGCTCTCATGGGCTTCTATCCAGTGGGCTCAAGTCATTTTTTGAATCTTACTCAACATATCTTAAAAGTATTACTGCAGTACCACTGAGTCATCAGTTCTTGTTGACTTGAGCACAAAAATAAAGAGGAAACTGACAGCTACATAAATTGGTCATTATCTTGCCAAAAAGTCTATACATATGCTGCTTGGTATCTCCACCATGAAAATGAGAAACCTCGCCCCAAGCAGTGTGCCCTTACAGGCTTCCTCTGGGAACTCAAAGCAAAAATCAGTATGCTGTGAGCTTTGTGGCCTTGGGCAAAAAATCTCCCAACAAATCCTTTTCCCCTTTAGGCCTCAGTTGTCTTCCCTGTAAAATAGGGAGTTGCATCACATCAAGAAATACAGAGCTGATCTATAGTCATATAAAAAAAACACTCAAAATCACTATGGATTAGAGAAATGCAAATTAAAACAACTCTAAGGTACCACTTCTCATTTATTAGATTGGCTAATATGCAGAAAATGACAAATGTTGGAGGGGATATGAAAAAACAGGGACACTAACACACTATTGGTGCAGTTGTGAACTGATCTGACCATCGTAGGGAACAATTCGGAACAGTGCTCAAAGGGCTACAGAACTTGTATCCCAAAGAGATTCCAAAAAGAAAAAAGATCTCTATGTAACAAAAATATTTATAGCAGCTCTTTTTGTGATGGCAAAGAATTGGAAATTAAGGGGATGCCCATTAATTGGGGAATGGCTGAACAAGTTGTGGTATATGATTGTGATGGAATGCTGTTGTGCTATAAGAAATGATGAGTAGGATGGTTTCAGAAAAAAACCTAGGGAGACTTATGTGAACTGATGCAGAGTGAAGTGAGCAGAACTAGGAGAACAGCGTGCACAGTAATAGCAATATTGTACAATGATCAACTGTGAATGGCTTAGCTATTCCCAGCAATACAATGATCCAAGACAACTGTGAAGGACTCTTGATGACAAATGCTATCCACCTCCAGAGAAAGAACTGATGGAGTCTGAATGCAGAGTGAAGCATACTTTTAAAAAACTATTTCTTGGGGTTTTTTGGTCTACATTTTCTTTTGCAACATGGCTAACATGGAAATGTTTTGCATGACTGCACATGTATAATCTGTATCAAATTGCTTGCCTTCTCAAGTAGGGGAAGGGAGGGAGGGAGAGAAAGAATTTGGAACTCAAAATTTTTTTAAAAGGTTAAAAAAAATTTTACATGTAACTGAGAAAAAATAAAATAAAAAAGGTGTTAGAGAAAAAAATAGAGAGAGCTGGAAGGAACCTTAAAGACTGCCTAGGCCAGCTCCCTCATTTTAAAGAGGAGGAAACTGAGGCCCAGAGAGGAGAAAGAGACTTATCCAAGGTCATACAGGGTAGTAAGGAATCAAACCCAGGTCCCCAGTCACCAGATCTGATCCTCTTTCCACTACATGAGGGCCTAGTTGAGTACTAACATCTGTTCCATCTCTAACATGCTCTAGTCCTGGGGAAATAGTGGTGGCCAAAGAAATCTTCACTATATTTATGTCCTCCTCATACAGGCCAACTCTCACAGCTCCTATAGTGCTTTCTGCTGAGTGTTGACCTTTGTTTTGCATCCAAAGGGAATTCTTGAAGTGGGAATTCTGTTGCTGCCCAACGGTCAATATTTACCTCTTGAGTCAATAAGTCTAGTGCACCAAGATTCAGTATCTGTTTAATTCAAAATTCATATTCATGCTCTTGACAGGCTCACCATTCTTCTCTCCTGCCCAGCTGAAGTTGCAAAACTGTGCCCATGTCCACATTACTCCTGAGAGTATGTGCTGTCTCCTCCACCCTCAGCAGCAGACAGAACTACACTAGGGTGTGAGTCCAAGGCCAAACAAAGAGCAAGGAAGAAGCTTTCCCAGCTAGAAAGGCCCAAATCTGATCCTCAACGAAAATAAGCCCTTAAAAAAATCAGTAAACTCTCATGCAGTTGTTCAGGTCTGGGCATCTGAAAAATGCCTCTGACATTGAAAAGGTGCATTCAAGACCGCCTGGGAAGGAGCAAGTGTGTCTTTTGGTATATCTGTATGAAAAGGAAGTCGATTGAATGTTGCTCCTGGCAGACTGACTCTGTACCCTCAAATGAGCACCTCAGATGACTTTACTCTCCCCTCCAAACCAAAATCGTTTTCTTTCTGCCAACGGTACTGACTTCACCCCAGGTGCCAAACGTTCCCCCAGAAACATGGTGCAGATGTAGCCAGAAGCTCTTTATCTTCTATTGATCTGGACCCAGGTAATGCTTGGGGAGCATATGGAGCCATTGGGTCTTC